AGACATTCGTTTCCTCTGTGTTCTCTGGAAGCAAAGTAATCCCTGCTTAGAATAGAAAACTTTAATTGGAAAAGCAGAGCTTTGCAAAACATCAAATCCATGTTTGTTCTTATAGAGAAAATTCTTTAAATATTCTTCTCTTTAGATACTGATTACATAATTTCAGATGGAATTAAAACTGGCTTAAAATAACAGATCTAGTGCTTCAACTTGACGGACTGAAAGTCAGTATTGATTGTGTACAAGCAAATTTTCTGATTGGCCTTTCAGATTGTATTTCTCAGTGAATGTAGGATGCTGTTTTGTACACTGGCTCATTGTACATTGTAGCAGGGGATTCTGAGATGTCCAGATGTATGTGTAACAACAGGCTGGCTAAAATCAAAACCAGAAAACCACAAGATCAGAGAGGAAACTAGGATCAGATAGGGAACTTGGAAGTTGCCTAGAAAAAAACACAGGAACTAGAGTAAACAGCACACTAGGAAACACTGGAGAAAGGGTTCAATATGAACCACATGTAAAGACCAGAGCACACTGAACATTCTGAAACAAACACCAGTTTTCTAGCTAATGTTTGCAGTTGTCTTTAGAATGTCCAAAAAAATGGCACTGACAAGCCAAGTGAACATTCCATAGACTTTAAACAATCTAAGACAGGTATGGCATGTAAACATTTGTGCTTGGTTGTGTTCTTCGGTGTACTCTGACCTTATGACTTTTCTACTTAAAAACGTAAAATCAAGGATATTTATGCAAACAGGATGAAATAAAACACAGGTGCAAACAGTAACCAAGGAAGCAAGCTACAATGGGAACATAATGGGGGTTAGAGGTAGGGAAGCTTCAGAGCTTATATACTGAATGTCAGTATACTCGAATTGTTTAAAAAAGCGCTGATACATACTGAAGTCATTTCACCACAGGTTCAAATAGGTCATCTTTTTTTATTGAACCTCTCGTGTTTGTTACACCAAAAATCAGCCACAATTTACATAAATATGAAATGATCACTGTAACATCCTGTCTTACCCTGCTTTGTCTTTCCTCGTTTCTGTCTGTCTGTCTTTGTTTATCTTCCCTTATGTTTCTTGTTCCATGTGCTTTTGTTTATGTCTGCCATGTGCTTTTGTTGTTTTGGTCTTTGTCTCCTTCCTGGTCCTGACTTCTTGTTAACTGTCTCACCTGTCTGTTGTCAGTAGTCCCACCCTCTCATTAGTCCCAGGTGTTTCTGGTCTGTCCCATGTGTATTTATTCCCCTGCATGCGTGGTTGCTTTGTGTTTTGTTCTCTCAGACCCTGTTTTGGTTGCCTCTCATTTGTTTTCTAGGTTCTTCATGACCCTCTGTCTTTGTTTTTTTGTTTTGTTCTGTCTTTGTTTTGTCACTTTCATGGATACCTTTGTGTCATGGATTTTTAGTAAAACCAAGGACTTGCATTTGCATCCTGCCCTTTCATCTCTCCTAACGTTAAAATTGCTAATGCTACTGCTGTTAACTGTTTAGAATAGTAGGCTATTTACTTACACTTTCATTTTTTTTATTATTAAACATTGAAACAATATGTTTATCACTGCAGTTTATGCTGTGGTATATTGTTAAAACAGTTAACCATCCCAGCCCTAATTCTCACACAGATGCACACATGCTTACACTGCACAAGCAGCAGTCAGTGATGTGCAGTCTCAAGGTCTGTGGTTTGAAAGTGGAAAGTAATAGATTAAAACACACATGTTCAAGTGCTCCTCCCACAGCAAAGCATTGCATCAGTCTTTAGCTCTGGCTTCAGTGTGCCGAGGGAGCCGAGCGGAGATTAAAGTTGGGTTCTTCAGCCTGCTTCCTCTCTCTCTTTGACTCTCTATCTTCCCTCTCCCCACTTCTTTCATTTTTTGTGTCATTTCCCGAAACTCAGTTGGAATGTTCGCATCCATCTTGGTGTGTGTTGCTCTGGCTGGCTCAAATGAAACTGAGGCTTCTTGCCAGGCCAGAGGGGAATGAATGTGTCTGACCTTCTGCAAAGGGAATCAGCCCACCTATACAAAAAAGGACATGAATGGAAAATATATTACAATATACACACATGTACAAATGTGTGTCCAAAAGTATCCAGATTAGAAGTATCCCTTCCAATGAGTGAATTCAGCTACTTTAAGATGTGCCAACTGCTGACACACTAGTCAGTTGTGCACACACAGCTTTATAGAACAGCATTGTCAATAGAATGGGACACTCTGAAACAGCCACATATGAACCTAAAATCACTATGCCCAATGACATGTCAGCTAGAGGAATATAAAGCCTCCAGCATTGTGCTGTGGAGTAGTTGAACTATATTATGTGGAGTGATGGAGCTCCATCCAATGTCATCTAGTGTAAAGCCTTCACAGAAAAGTGGAGGCTGTTACTGCAGTAAATACAGGGACAAATTTCCTGTTAATATCCTTGATTTCAAAAGAAACATTGGATAAGCAGGTGGACTAATAATGTATTGTCGCTATGTGTAAAAAAACCTTGTAAATCCAGTTTTTACATGATTTGAAAATGTCAGCTGTCCTTTGTGTCATGTGCACATTTCATTAGGAGTGTGAAATAGTAGAAATGCTCCGAATTTACATTTTTCCTTCTTCTTTAAAGTTACCTTTTAGGAAATGCAAGGTTGTTCTATTTGACTTCTGCACTTCACTCATTCAGCCTAATTCATTTCTGTGCTACTGACGATCAACTATGACAGTCTGTATTGTGAATACTGCTGTGTTTTCTCTGCTGAAGACCATTCCGGCTGAATTGAAGGTGTCACAATAGCAGTTAAAATGACCCACACATTTTGCTCAGCTGCCAGACAGTAAACAGCAACAAAAAAAATAGATTTTTTTTTTTCCTCCCTGGCAAGGATTATGAGAAACAATAACTTTGATGGTGACTGTGGACAGCCTCACAGTCTAGTACAGGGAGAGCAAACAACAACCCCCCCGCCACCCTTGCCCATCTGTAATAACATCTCATCATCACTGTCGTATGTGCAAAATCGATTTGATTTCATTGTGCAGCGATGGCCTTCGTGTCTAGCATCTGGATAGCGAGGAGCCTCTCTCTGGTCTCTGGTCCCCGGAGACCCGTGTCCCTTCCACTCACATTATGAGTGAGTGTGTGTTTGTATGTGTGTGGCACGAGCTGAATGAGAACCATGCGTCATACTGCACACTGAGCCCTCCTGATGAAGCCATTATTTCTTTATTTCTTTTAGGCCTTAGGGGCCCTTAAAGAAGTCAGCATCTATTTTTTCTCTCTTGCTCTCGCGCTCTCTCTCTCTCTCTCTCTCTCTGGCTGTCTCACTATGTGAAGGTCAAGGTTTAGAGTTTGCTAGTGTGCAGGAGACAGATGAAGGCTATTTTTTAGCCTTTGCACCAGCTATCTGTTGCCCCCATTTTTCTGGTCATTGCCAATTGTATTTATTCTGTTGCTAATTACCTCAACACTAGACCAAATTTCAGATTATTTGGGCTGGACCAGAAGATTGGCTGTGAAAAAATCATTTTGGTTTAATTAGCAAGTGTACCAGACTGTGTGCCACACCGCCTCTCTTGTATGCATTACTTTATAGCAGATTGGGAAGAAATGCATAAAGATTAAAAAAAGACAGCTAAAATTTGTGCTTCCTCCTTTTTAAATCTTCAGTGCCAAAGCTGAACTTTAACACTGTTCAATTCAACTCACTCTGCAAGTCTCCAATGTGAAATCACTGATGCTGGCAAATTCCATTAAAATGAATGTAATTTCACTCAAAAAAAAATTACTGACATAAAGCTAGTGAGATTGGGCATTAGCTAATTGCATTAAATAACACAGAGGATGAGTAGGGCAGCACGGTGGCGCAGTGGGTAGCCTGGGTTCGATTCCCAGCTGGGCGACCAGGGTCCTTTCTGTGTGGAGTTTGCCTGTTCTCCCCGTGTCTGCGTGGGTTTCCTCCGGGTACTCCGGTTTCCTCCCACAGTCCAAAAACATGCAGTCAGGCTGATTGGACGTGCTAAAATTGCCCCTAGGTGTGAGTGAGTGTGTGATTGTGTATGTCTGTCTGTCTGTCTGCCCTGCGATGGACTGGCGACCTGTCCAGGGTGTATCCTGCCTTCCGCCCAATGACAGCTGGGATAGGCTCCAGCACCCCACCGCGACCCAGAAGGATAAGCGGTTTAGATGATGTATGTATGTATGTAGAGGATGAGTAATAAAATGTTGTTGCCATATTGTAGCAATAAGGAGTGGTCTGGCATGTACTGAATATAAATATTTATCTGAATTTAAATATTATTTAAAATGGTTAAAAAGCACTAAGACACACAGAAATAATTTTACAACAGGTAATGTATATAATGTATAGATTTTCTTTGTATTAAGTTTCTGATTTGTTAATGTCACCAAAATATGCTGCAATTTAAATACATATGAAATTCTCACTAGTACTACTGCTGTTTACTCTGCAGATTATAACTGTGTAAACATGTGTTTTCCTGGCGAGTGCTTTGCAGGGAGTCTGTAGCAGTAGGCTATTTACTAACACTGTGACTTTTTTTTTTAAATGGCATGCATTGATGTGAATTGCTTTAAAATTAATGTCACTTTGTTCAAAGAATTTTGCTGACAGAAAGCTAGTGTGCCATAAGTAATTGCATTAAATAGCATAGATGATGATTTGAGCAGTAAAATATTGTGAGTAATGTCCGGCGCTGGTCAAGGAGGGCTTTCTTCTAGCACAGTTGGGTGATTTTCCTACCCAAACACATCTGATTCAACTCAGCAGTTAGTTACCAGGTTTAGTGGGTGTGTTTGAGCAGGGACATCACTAAACTGTACTGGACCCCAGCCCTCGAGGACTGGAACTGATGACTCCAAGACCCCAGACTTATTCAGTGCCTTTTTTCACATGGATTTGATTTAATAAGTCTTTGATGAGTCTTTGAGTAAATTGTCGTGTGTTTCTTTCCTCTTTTCCTCTTTCCCTGTTCAGGTATTGCTGGAGGCAACTGTAGACCGCTGGGGCTATATTGCTGTGGACGATATCCTGGTGCTGAACTATCCATGCTGTAAGTAGCACAGTGCGGATGGGTGGGCATGAGTATGGGGATGAGTATGATGCTTGGAGTGGATTTTCAGACCACCCTTTTCACTGATGTACTGTTGTAGGCTCACAGAGGCACAGCTAGACCTTGTCTTTGAGATGAAGAGCCATAATCTCCCTCCTTGTTGAATACTCTCGGCAGCAAACCTATTAAAGTCTCTGTAAGCTTCTGTTGGCCTTCAGCCCACCCTAATACATGGTTGTTTGGGAAGAATAAAGGAATGCTGTCTTTGATTTGATGTGATGCTTTTCCAAGAACTGAACTTGAACTGCGTTTTCCCCTCTGGCTTGCACTTTAAACTAGTGTTCTGTGAACTGGTCACTGTTTGTTGTGTAGCATTTGGTACATCTCATGCCATGCAGCCTCTTTGCACAGTTGGCCTGTATAGGCAAGGTATCAGCATTCATATTCTGCTTGGGTTCTAGTTAGTAAGAGCCTGCACCCTGCTGTTTCACAGTGGGAAATGGGCTAAGATAGCGTGCTGGACTTTGGAGATCATACAGCAGAAGATCAGAGCCGTGAGGCAGAGCTATGAGGGAGTGTGTGATGTGTCTTCTTCACAGAAACCATGAAGGCTTTATGTACAGAGTAGAGAGATGCAGCTCGACCATGGGGAAAAAGTCTATTATTCTGGAACTCACCAGAGCATGGTTCCATGGTTGGGAAAAATAGTGTCAGTGTCAGAGGAGAGCTCACATAGTACTTTTTTTATGTTTTATTGATTTATACTTTATTACTGGTATTTAAATGATCAAACAAATCAGGAATGAAAGTAACAAATGTAAAACGCAGTGACAAAATGTATATATTGTTTTGTCAGAAAATTGCTTGCATGATTTTCAGTTTAGCCCCATGTTATTCGTTGGAAAGCAGTTATGGAAATTCAACATCAAAGGAATGTAAATAATTGATAGTGTAATATCTAGTTAGCCTCTTTTTATATTAGTAGCAAGGACTGCTGATTATGTTGGGGAAAACTAGTTTTATTTGGGTACTAGATTTACATCTCTACTCTGTTGTGTGGTCTACTGTAAATTTTACTGGTAAGGCGTGGAGAATTAAAGCACTATTTCAGTTCTTTTTTTAACTTGCCATTGCTCACTTCAACTCACCACTCGGATGTGCCTCTGTGTTACACAAGAGGCCACTCATGGCAGAAGAGGTGAAGAGGACAGTGAGGAGTAGATTATTCAAATAGAACACACTCTCCCTCGGCAGGTTAGCCATGCAAACCTTGCAGTGCAATTATTGAACATAACGTACATGGCATTTGTGAGTAATTGCTTTGTCTAGCTATAAATTTGGTGTGCAGCTGTGGTGTAGTGCCTTTGGTGTTGTTTTTAGCTGTTTAACTAGCGTGCTAACTTCTAACTAAAGAGGGAGCAGGTTGCAACTTAAAGCCCAGAATCTTATAGTACTTTTCTGCTTACGTTTAAAAACAGCTTTGTCTGCCCTTATGTTTGTGTTTAAAAAGGGAAATTCATCAGGTCTCAGTGATTTCTGGGTAAGTTCTGCTGCTGGAGTCAACACTCGTGTTTGCATCTCCCTACCACCCCTTTGCCACCCCTATTAAAGTTTTCTAGATCCACCACTGTCCACTTGAAATGGACAAGTGATTTTTTGGAGTAAACATTAGAATGAGAACTTACACATAAATCATGTAGATTTGATGAGTTTTTAGTTTTGGGTTGGGGGAGGTCTGCTGTCAACAGAGAATTCTGAGGGAGGATTCCTCATCTACTCTAAACACAGCAGCAGTTCATGGTTACCATTTAACCCAACAGAGTATTTAATTATTATTGTGCACCCAAAACTAAGATAAGCAGTGAGGTTGGTTTCATCTGGCAAAAAAGGTTAATATGTGTAAAGTATTATTGTTAGCAACGAAGACAATCTATCTTTAATATAGTTTTTGTTTTGAATTGATGTAGAACTTGATGTAGAAAATGATGGGCAATGCCTTGATTCATCATAGATGTATTTTTTTTAAACATTTGAACTCCTAATATTGGTATGGTTTTTGAAAAAAGTAAAAAAATTGTACTCGCTACTTGTGACTGGTTTCTGAACTTGTCAGTGCAGTTTTCAGGTCTGAGCTAAAAAAGTGCGACCCTTCCAACGTCCAGAAATCCGTTACCGCACTACAGCCCCTGATCAGACAGTGACGCATTTTTGTTGTTGCTCCAGTGCATTAGATTTGAATCTGAAATGAAAAGAGTATGAAGTTGAAGTGCGGAATATCAAATTTAGAAATGACAAACCGTGTAGGATTCACAGACATTTTTTATACATTCACAATTATGATTGATGACTGCCTGAGGTTCGCAACTCATAGACATCCACAGGCACTGTCTTCCCAGTGTCATTTCTATGCTCTGCCTCTAATACAGCAGTTTTCACGCTTGATTTGGGCACTCTCAGTCTTTTCTTCAGTAAATGAAATGTTCAGTGGATTTTAAGTCAGGTGATTGACTGGCTGGTGAAGAATACAGTACACTTAATGTTTTGGTTAGGTTTCTGATTGATTTATTTTGATTTGTCTGCCACACGATGCTTGCTGCTTTACTGGCACTGACACTTTGCCTCTTAAATTCAAATTTAAATTCAAAAACACTATTTATCCCCAAGGGAGCAGCTCATTATAGAACAGACAGTGATGCACATAATAGATTTTTAAAAACAGCGTACAGGAACATGAAAGAGATTTAAGCAGACAAACTTCATGTTCTGTAAATATTATAAATGCAGTAAACAAATGATTATAAATGCAGTAAATAGCGAGGGATTTTATAAATAATGCGGTTTGGCATGAAGTAGTGCTGAGAAGTCTACAGTCCCCAAACTCAGAATTACTGTCCATTTACCTTCATTGTTGAGTACTCTTTTATTTTAAAGCTTTACAGATTATGGAGCAACTTGGAAGGTGTAGGTGGTGGCTGAGAGGAAGCAATTCAAACTGGGTGTGTAGAGGATGTGTGTGATCACCCATAATGCTTTTTGATTATATGCTGGATGTAGATAATAGGATCTGGGAGGTGGGCCAGTTATGTTTGAAGAGGTCTTGACATAGACTAAAAACAGGTTTTGTTCTTGATACTGAGATTGAAACCAGGAAATGAGTGAGAATGACAGAATGGTCTTTGTGAAGGAACCATAAGGAGTGGGGATGATTGTCTTGTTTACTACAGTTGAATATAGTTTCCATATGAAATATAGTTGTTTTTGCGTTTGCCACACACACTTGACCGCTTACTTATGGTGCTCTAAATTGTGGAACTGAGTAGTCAAGGGCTTTGATTACTATGTGGCTTTGCACTTTAACCTCATAGACATTTTCAAACACAATATGCTGGAGCATAGGGTCACAACAACAAAAATGATGTGACTGTTCAGTAACCTACTGAAAATTGCTTCCAAGCCCAGGTCTCCTGGCTGCTCATTGAGAGCTGGTTATGTGGCCCATCAGGGAGGAGTGCAGCTCGTTGGAGTAAACAGGCCTGCTGATGGCCTCCGAGGGACAGCCGAGTACTTTTACAGCTTCATTAAAGACCAGTGATATTTATTCATATTTAAACAGGGCTGACAAACTGCTCTTAGGCAGCGATAAAGTCCAATTCTAAACAAGCGAATCACCAGATGCTGCGGTCAAGGAAGCTCTTGGTGGCGATGCCTCTCACCTCCTACCCTACCACCCACCTCCCCGCCCTCACCACTTCCTGCGGGCAGCAGATGGCATCATTTGAGCCCCACTGTGCCCATTAAATAATTAAGACTCTCATCAGGACCTGGGCACATTGTCAGCATGGCACCAAGCCAGACTGCGGAAATCACCATTTGGCATGAGCAGCCTAAAAAAAAAGGATGGGAAAAAAGTGAGGAATGAAATCAGGCTGTGTGATTCTAGTAAAGGTGCTAAACACAAGTGACATTTCTAATGGACCCTTTTGAGCTTGAATGTTTTTCTCTGCGCCTGTGCTGCAGCTGGATACGATGTTTAATATGCTTACAACACTGTTCACAAATCTGTGAATTAAAACAAATTTTCGGTGTAGCTCAATATTGCAAAAATGTAATAAAATACAGTATTGTGAAAAAGTTAGAAACCACCCTTCATTTATTTAATTTCCAGTAAAAACAGCCAAGTTCAAGTTGTTTATTTTTTAGCATCAGGAAAAAGTAGAATATATAGCATATATAACAGAAAATTACACAGAGGCCTCAACAACATATATATATATATATATACTGTTTTTTAAATAAATCTGCAAGGTCTGCAAGGATATTTTTCCACACCTCCAAAGTTTAGTTTTAGAACTTGGTTGCCTTTTCTGCTTCTGATGATCAAAATAACCCCAAACACATTCAGTGATGCTGAGGTCTAGACTCTGGGGTGGTCAGTCCATTGTTCTGAGAACACCAGCAGATTCTTTGATTTACAAGTTTTCTTCTTTTTTCATCTATTTTCTATTCTCAGTAACTGCTTCTTGACAGCTACACATCCTTTCATACGCATAGCGTACAGTTGTCTTCTCACAGTGGATGGACAGAAACACCTGTTTTTGACACTTGCTTCTGATTTTTTCAAATCCAAAGCAACAGTAAAGCTTGATTTTCTCCTCTCTCAAAGATAAAAGCTTTTAGTACTGCTTATCTGACAGTGAGAGTTTTGGTGGTCCAACAATTCTTGCACATTTGGTAGGATTGGTAGGAGTCCCATTCTCTCTGTACTGTTTAGTGATTTTTTTAAGCCTCAGTTTTGGAACCTCCTGTTTTTTTCACTTGTTTTCCTTGTAAGTTCTTTTTGGAACAGATAAATTGAGCCAGGAAAACTCTTGATGTTAAATTTACAAAATGATATCAAAAACTATGGCTTTCTGTAATTCAGTAGTTTAGTATAAAATCTATTGTGATGCAATTTATCATGATAATGACTGCATATCATCTTATTGCTCACCTTTAAATTAGCCCATCATATTCAGTATATATAGAGGTTGTGGGATATGAGATTTCCCTCCTGTTCTTTACCTAATCCCTACCTAAAACATTGATCCTACTCCAAGATGCTGCATGAATGCAAGTCCTAAAGATGGCTATTGCTTATTTTTCTTCCATTCAGACATTTTTTTTTTTACTTTGTGTGAGCAGATAAAGGCACATGAATTATAAATTAAACATAATAGACCAGCATGTCCACAGGATACAGGGCCACCCGCCGATTACAAATGCTGCAACCATGTTGTCTGCCCGTTTGTGCAAACAAGTTTGACAAATCGTCTTCATACACTGCCAGAAAGCAGCAACCAGTGAACGGCTGTGCATAAACAAGCCGCTCTTTCTTCTAGATCTCCTCTGTATCCCCGGCCAGTTCTCTCCTGCTATGACTGATTGATTTAGCATACTTCCTATGTATGTTCACTAAGACTGACTTCAGTGGCTGCAGTTATTCAATGCATTTGATTGTGTAGGTGGTGAGAATAGCAGTGCGAAGAGTTCAGAGTGTAAAGTCCCACGCAGGGCTACTCAACACTATTCAGCAGCTAGCACGCTCAGTTTTACTGAAAGGGTTAGAAAGTTCTGCTAACACATCATATTCTCCAATAATCTCCTTTACAGCAGAGATTCAGTTAGTTTAAAATGTGACAAACTAGATGTGACAAACAAAACGCTCATGTCTGAAATTAATTTTGGGCTTAAAAAACAAAGCAAATGTAGAATAAACTTTATAAAGATCATTGAGGCTCACAATTGTTTGTATGGGTCACATTGTTCCATATCAATTTAATGTGTTGAGTTTTTTTTTGTTAAAAAGTATTTCTTTTTTTATTATTGTTATTGGTATTAATATCAGGTTGTAAACAATGTAGTTGGTATGAATTATAATTTATTTACAAATGTGCAACTGTGCATTTTTATTTTAAGATTTCTATGTCTCTTTTTTTAATGCAAGAATTAATTAAGTTAAAAAAAAGGCTGATTTCAAAAGCAATATTTCATATTGTCTCTGAGAAAAGAGTAAACATCTCATACTGTGGCAATTTTACCTTTTTCTCCTGGGCAATCACATTATATGAAATCAATTTTTTTGCAATTCAAAGCTTCCCAAAATAGGTAGGAAATAGTGTTAGGTTGCATAAGTTGTGTTGCCTGCGTTTAATCAGTATATTTGATCCTATGTGTGGTAGCCCATTGAGTAAATGCCTCTACTGAAATGATTTAATTTCCTGTCTTTCTGGGCTAATGTTAAGAAATGACCATATTGTGGCATATTAATACATATTGTAGTTACAGGATGCCTTGCAATGTGATGAATCATCAATGCGACATGATTTAAGTTTTCCCTGCATTATTTTGACCAAAATAACTTGTTTCTGTTAGGTTACATGAATAGCTTTACTCATAAAACACCAGTGGTGTAACAATTAATTTGTTTTCTTTGTGCATCAGTTAGAATTCCTCCTGTTGCAACTGCATCAGTCATAAAAGAAATAAGAATAACCTACCAGCACTGCATGATAAGTAATTCTTACTTAATTTTAGTGGCTTTACAGTGCATGAGTAGCTCAGGTAGCTTTCATAAGCTAATCATGGACGCAAATGATGGAGGAAATGAGTGAGAGATTTACAAACCACTACTCCAGGAAACATCCCATCTAACACACCTGACTTAAGTTCATTAGCATTCTGAAAGATTTTGCTTTAGAAAACTTGAATAATAAGTTGAATTGACAAATATCTGAATCTGTCAAAAATATTATCTCTTGATTACAAAATGTTTGTGCGAAAGAGTACAGATACAATGCAAATTAAAAAACATGTTGAAATCATAGAAACTGAAGGGATAAGAAGTGTTGAAAACCTACCATGCTCTGGCCATCCAAAGGAGAAATCTGAACAAACGAGCTGATCATCAGTTGTGCAAACTCTCTCAATGCTTAAAAGACTTCAAACTGTCATCCAAAAGAAGGGATATGAAACAAAATACTAAATAGTAATCCACATAAAGGAAAGAGATACTAATGTTTGTACTTTTATTTGCCTTACTTTTCAGTGAATTACTGGGATTCTCTGATGGATACAAAAGAGTAAATGATAACTTTAGCTTTGAAAGTAATACACAAGACCTAAGTAATGTTCAGATACTGTCCTAAGACTACTCTTAAGCACTATAAATTGTCCACTGCTGAACCGCACCAATTAGAGACATTATTCTTCAACTTACATTCCAGTTACTGGCTCTTGTTTAGCCTACATGGCATGATATTGTATTGGTGATGGTGAAGACTATAGCTCTGAACTGAAATAAGCACAATTTCATTACTGTGACAGGTTGGAAAGAAGAATTATTATTGTGTAAATCATTCTCAAAAATGTGGTATCCAAAATATAGACTTTTTTTCTCAGTGAAAACCTGATGAGAAACTGAATCACTGAATTGCTTTTGAATTGAATCGATGAATCATGAATCAAACCAATTAGCTGTTAGCTCAAAAATTCACACCCTTGTTAAACACTCACAGAAACACTGATCTAGAACTGTGATTCCACACGATGCTTACAGCACACATCACATTAGAAAGCTAATTTGCACATTGTGTCCTTCTGTGATTTTCCAAAGAGCAATATCACAGCAACAATTAACAAGCAATATATTGTTCCTAGTATGACTGTTGGACAAATATTTTGGTCTCTTTTCTACTTTAGATAAAGCTCCCCACTTCTCTCGGCTGGGGGATGTGGAGGTCAACGCCGGACAGAATGCCACCTTCCAGTGCGTGGCATCAGGACGGGCATCCGAGGCGGAGAAGTTTTTACTAGAGGTGAGTGCAGCTTTATGTGAGCAGAGATTGATTTCTGTGGCTACTAAAGGTTCACTTGTTCTCCTGTTATATGGAGGTATTTTTGAAGAGAAAATTGAAATAGTGACAGTGTCTTTGCCAATAAAAACTTCACACCAGGAAGCAGAGAGTTGCTGGTTTAATATCGTGTGCCTCATGCTCATCGATTTTTTTTTTTTTCAGAGATGGTTCGAGAGCTTGAAAATGTCCATATTTCTTTTTTATTCCTTTACAGTATTGAATGCTTAAATGCACTTCCTAAGATTAAAATCTGCAGCACTAGCATATGGTCCATAGTCATGGCCTTCAGTAATGTGTCATACCATAATATAATATCCAGTATTATTCATGCCACTGAAGTACAGTGACACAAAACGAGTTGCATGGATAAAAATATGTCTCACAGCTAAAACAGCCTTTGAAGCAGCTTTCAAGTTAGAATTTTGTGCATACTTTTTGTCCATTTTTATAGATAACAATATGTAATACAGTGTCAGAAATGGGGTCGTTCTTATGTTCCACAGGCCCTTTGTTTTGTTATTGAAATATTTAGAAAACAACCCTATATTTCCTAGGCTCTGTGTTTCCTTTTTGTAATTTTTGAGACAGACCTGTCAAGTTCTTCAGGACCGTAACATTCCCAGATATCGCTGTGATCTGACACAACATTCATTTTGTGTATTGTGCTCGATATTTCAGATCTATGACATCTGGTTCGCCACTTTCAAACCAAGGGCTATGACAAACAGAAGGGCAGTGCTCCATACTATTATGTATTATTTAAAGAGCTGAGGGAACATTATATCCTAGTAATATAGGGCCTTGGGAATATGTGTACGCTCCTAATGCTTGGTGGCTCAGTGAGGTGAGGAGTTAAATGAAAAGTACAACTGTGTAACATTCAGGGACAAGGATATATGGCTGTGATCCCATGATGCCTGGAACTGTAAACATGCCCAAGGTCACTGAATTTGCCCATTCGCTGCCCCCCTCCAGGCTGTGGGAAATACGTGGCTCCATATTATCATTATAATTTTATATCGCTACATAGTCGGGTACCAGCTGCAACCTAGTTTGTGCTTCTGCTTTGATCATGAAAACGATGCTGACAAATGGATCGTTCTGTTGTGTGTGCTGTAATTAGTCCAAACAGATTGTGTGCGATCCATCCACAGCTTGTGCACACTGTCTACCCAGCCTCATGGCTGCTAATTCGCTGATTGTCATGATTGCAGGGTAAAACAAAAAAAGCCAATAGTGAGCTCACAAAGCCCGGTGATTGGCGTCGGTTTGTTTTATGTGAGCCGGGGTTTGGCAGTTGCCGTGACCGTAAACAGCACCTTGGTGTGTTTTTGTTTGTGAGGGCTTGGGGCTGGTTTGTGTGGTCTGCCGGCAGAGTGAGAGCTTAAAAACCCAACCCTACAATAAACAAACAGACGCAGACGCTCAGCACCCACAGGCGTCTTCCCTAAGGACCAGTTGTCCAGCGTTGTGCGTGTGCTCAGGGCTGCCTGTTTGTGTGTACTCGTTTATAGAGGGGAAAAGTGCAATGTGTTGATGATGTGGAAGGCTGCTATTCATGCTCAGACCACAGTTTAATTATCTGAATCAAAGTGAAAGGACAGGCAGCTTTTGTTGTGTCTGTTTATTTATTTTTTTATAAGGGATGTTTGTTGCCTCATGAAGCTCCACGTAACCATTCCGCCGCTTTGACCAAGTCTGGCAAGCTTCTTTCATTGGGTTTCTCTCCTCGCTTCACTCCCTCTCCTTTCGGCCTCCATTAAACACACACTTGCAAATAGGACATTGCTCTTCTGAGTTATTTTCTGGGCCCTATTCACTCCTTACTCTAAGGTGTCTTTTTCTAAGTATGTCTCTGAAGATATGAGTTATTATTCTTCCACATGAGCAAACACCCAATCGAATAAAGAGTAAAACAGTTTCCATGCATGGAACGTGAAATGGTTTTTCTGCCAGATATTAAGTTGAGTAAGGCTTGAGTGAATCTAAAACTAATGCCATTGCCCGCTTTGCTTTTATAATGGTTACTCAGGTCAAGCCTGACTGTAATAATATTATTCCCCCATAATTGCTATTGTCATTCCGTGCATTAACTTTTCCTCTCAGGTAATATGCATGGCAATTTATTGGGTCACTTAAACTTTGTTGGTGAACTGTTTAAATTAAGCTTTTTTTTCTTTATGTTTGGCCAGTCATGTTATGCTGTGTCCTAAGCTAGCCTGGCTGTAGGAATGATATGCCTCTTAGCTGACTGGAGTTTCTGTTCAAGGGCATTTTGTCTGTACAGTGTTCATAAAATTTTTTAGAAGATAAAGTCAGAATGAGTTTGTTGCATTTGGATTCTACATTATTTACCTCTACCTCTGTCCACTCTAGCGGCACAACGGTGAGGTGTCCTCAGGTGGCTCGGTCAAGCACCTGGGCCGCAATCGTTTTGCTGTGTCCTTCCAACTAGAGGATGTCCAGAAGCCAGAGCAGGACCTCTACCGCTGTGTAACCCAATCCACAAGAGGCTCCGGGGTGTCCAACTTTGCTGAGCTCATTGTCAAAGGTAATGAGCTGTCTTTAATGTAGAACTGTGGAATATTTAAAGCTTTTCACATGAAATTAATTACATAGACTAAAGACACAGTTGCATTCTTGTGGATAAAGTGCAACATTACACATTAGAAAAGCAAGTATAATAGTATGCGTGTTTGTTGATGACGCAGTGAGTGTGATCTAAAAGAAGGGGACTGATTATCAGTTTAGTAAATTATTGTTATTATTGTTATTAATGGGTTTTGAAAAATTAGTGTTATTTGAAACTGAATATTTGCTGATTGTAATTTATTGACGTATTGCTGAAGTGTGTAATTAGGCAGTGTTTTTCTTAAAATCTTTCATTATATTCATTATATTATTGATTCCATTATGTGCATCACTGTTATTATCTTAACTGATAGCTAATTAGTGCTTGTGCGGTTATTTCTTATTGATGGATATTTACAATGGATGCATGTTGATGCATAATAAAAAGTCCACTGTGTTACAATCTGGTGGGCTATATGTACTTGTTTGGTCTGTTTCAAGGGCCTTAATGCAAAAGATTGATACTTTTTAAAAGATTTTGATAACAAATATATTTCAGATTTATTTTTAAACTATAATTAAACTATATTTATGTATTTTCTCCGAATCAAGTTCTTCAACTGGTGCTGCTTGAGTACTGGTATCCTGTATAAATTAACCTTGAAACAGTTGATGCTGGATTAAAATTTCAGACACAATCACAGCCTCTGCATAACTCTGCAGAACTTTGTTCTGTGTTTGATTAATTGCTTTTGCCACCATACAAAACAAGTTAATGTTCTCCCAGTAAACCTTCTCTAATCCGGGGTCCCTGTGTTAAGGGGCCAGTGTATTTTAAAAGCGATATCAGGAGCTTAGCTAACTCAATATTTTGCCAAAGCGCAGAGTTGCTAAGCCGTGTCATCATGGTGATTCAGTCTGCCCTCACCACTTATCATGCACGGCAGAAGCCAAACCTCTCATAACGCCGTCTAACCTCAGCGCCTGACACCAGGCTGTCAGGCCAGGAAGACAGCGCTCAGTGAGCAGTCACTTCTGATCCCCAGCCACCCTCTGATCCCTAAACCGAGGAAAAAGACAAGAGTGAAGTAAGGACAGGGAGGAAGAGAGCTCCTCTCGCTCCTCCACACTGCTCCTGCATCTCTGCAAACACTCAGAGAGTTTGTGAGGCGGCCTAATCCCATTGATACATGTAGCAGCAAGGATTATGCCGAGTTTAGCGAAGGGGCTGTTTGGTGCACGACAAAGTGGCCTGGAAACGGAGCTTTACTAAACCCGCGGGCTGTTTGCCATAAATGTAGCATTAAAATCCCCCTAAATGGAAGGCCATGAAATCTAGTAATGTGCTAAAGCAAGGGAGCAAAGTGCATATCTGACCTCTCTTCATTGCACCATCATTATTGCTGTATTATAGGCCTTTATTGTAATAAATTTTACAGCTATCACAAGAAATCTCCTTCACTTGATATTGCTTGGCTTACGCTAGTAGCTATAGAGCGTGCTCTTAGAGCTAGTTGCTATAGAGCATCTGCACACTTTTTAAATTTCATTATTATCTGCTCATCAAAAGTCATCTCATTTTGAAAAATTTCAAGTGGTGATCTGCTATTACTTTCCACTTTAGGGGAAATTCCACTAGTTTTTCAAACACTGCATAATTAAACGGTTAAGATGTAAAGCTATTCAAGGTGGTTTGATGTGAAATCCTCCGTTCTAAAGAAACTTACCTACTTAGAATTGTTACGTTTGAACCAAACATCTGTAAAGTTTGATGTATCTAAAAGCTCTCTCACAAGGTTATTGCATGAAATGGTTACAAATATGCTGCCTAATGTCTGAGACATTTTTGTTTTATGATAGTTTGGGAAGTAATTTAACTTAACTTCTCTCTCGAATGGAGCATTTTGCATCAAACCACTCTGAATGACTTTATTTACACTGAATGATTGCATTACAGATTTTTTAAAAGCTGTGGAATTCCCCTTTAAGGACAAAGAACATAAGCAAAGGTTTTGCTAACATAAACAGGTATTGATTTATACTTTTTGGGGTATATTTTGCAACACTCAGCTTTGTGTTCATCATGGAGTCTTCCTTGGTATGGAGAGCAGTTGTTTCCTAAATGTTGATTTTTTTTCCCCAAACTGCTGCTAAAAGATGTCTCCAAACCTTAGGCAGTGTATGAACCACAAACTATGCTGGAAACTTTTTGAATCTGTTATTAAAATTTCTTTGTTATATTTCTATTACAAAAAAAACTTTCAGCCCTCCATCTAATACTAGTATCAGTGATAAGAAGATAACTTAAAATCCCACTCATTGCTGGCATTTGTGCTGTGTAAGGTGTTTTACGATATGGCTGCTTTCCCTCAGCAGCAGGTTATTGGCCCTGGTGTCTGATGGGGCCTATTTGGACAGGAGGTCCCATTTAAAATGCATCACTGCACCTCAATTAAACACAGCAGTGGGACAGGTCCAGAAAGCTGTGACTACACACTCACAAGCCAGCCTGGCTCTTTTTTGCAGGCTTGTACAGCAATACTCTTATTTTCACCTTAAAATTGCGATACTCTGAAGCCCTCTGCATGCCTTTCACAAACTCCCGCCCCCTCTCGGCCCTGCTAACGAGGGCCTAATCATCCCTTTAATTAGCTTGATCAACTCATTTCACAATTCACTGTTCCTCAATGGAGACATAGATTATGCACCAATAGGGCTAATGCACAGTGGCTAGAGCCCTGATGAGAATTGTGTTCAGTCAGCCCAGCCCGTGGATATAAGTAAAAAAATATATCATTGTGCGCCCTATAACATAGCGCTGTGGAGTGAGTCTCCATGGATTAGATTCTCCCAGAATGAAACCGAAATCCCTCCCCCAGTGAGAGCGCATCCCATGCAAACAAACTGTGGATAGGAAGATCCTGGAACCTGTCTTTTCTTTCAGCCCTGATATAAGCATGACTTGAGAGGAATTGAGTTAATATTATTTTCTGAGCCAGTCTGCCTGGCCATATGAGCTGTGCTTTATTGCGCCTCTGCCTGGAGGAGCTCTACATGTATCCTGGGGGTCTTTGAATGTATGGATGGTGATATATAATGGAGAATAGTACTGTGGACAGTCAGCATCCCAAACACAAACCCAGTCAAAGGATTAGTCACAGGACAGCATAGTAGTGGCATTATGGCAAAAATATGACACTACATATATATATATATATATATATATATATATATATATATATATATATATATATATATATATATATATATATATATATATATGATTCTATAGATGAATAGGACACTATAGCTGTACTGTAGTTAGTACTTTAAATAGTGCTTATCAAACAGGGCTCTATGTCTTGCAGCAAGCAGGGAATCTTTTTTGATATAGTTCTGTTTTAAGGGGTTCTTTATAGAACCCCTAGAAGATAGATCAGATGCTTCAGCAGAGTATTTGCAGAGTTTACAGCACTTCTTGCACTGCACTGGCCACATTCACATTCAGTCAGCCGATGCGTTAACCATATTATGGAAAGTAATCACATTACTGTAATGCGTTAATTTTTAATCGTGTAACACTGGATGGTATCTTTCTATATATAAACATTGCCTTTACTAGAGGAACCTCTTTTTCAAAAATGGAAGCAGTAATGTAGCTTCATGATACACAGTACATATCAGGATGTGTCATTTTAATGGGGTTTAACAAGCCCACTTGACAGCTTCAGTACAGATGTCTCCGTCTTCCTTCTTCTTGCACCAGAGGGTGGTTTGTCTGTTTGTTTGTTTGTTTGCTTGTTTGCTTCTTTCTTTCTTTCTTTCTTTTTTTCTTTCTTTCTTTCTTTCTTTCTTTCTTTCTTTCTTTCTCCTTTTCTTGTTGTCCATATATGTCCCTTAAATTTCTTTCATGGCTTAATCAGATGGCAGCCTTTAAATATAAACCAAGATTCTCACTCTTAACTTTGTACAAAGATACAGTAGAATTGTTCCTCCTGTTTGCTGTGCTGTTACTCTGGGGAGCTGATGTGTGCATCTCTCTGTGTGTGCCCTGTGCTTGTATTTAAAGAAATCACACTCTCAGCCACGTACATCTGTTGTTTCGCATCTGGTTCTTTCAGAACGCACAAAGAATCCTAATGCTAGGTCAATGTGCATGGCTAATGTAGTATTTGAACCCATAGCCTCAAGGGCAAACCTTCTATACTTCACAAGGTGTGCCTCCTGAATTCTGGCTGAGGTTCGAGAATAGCTCCTTGTGTAAAATATTTGTAGCGAGTTGTGATGTGTGTGTTGTAAACGTCTTACAACACAGATTCAAAGGAAAAACATATACAGACCAAAGTACTAAAACAACAATTACAACATCAGACCATATAAGCATGAGTCAATACGCAAATAAATAGCATGACTAGATAAGTGATTAACATAAATAAATAAATAAATAACATAATTAGTCCCCAAAAGGTTGGGGGGAGCGGTTGGGAGATTGGCGTTATAGTGCATTCAAGAGGGGGAATTACCCAGGTCCTCTGCAGGAAGCTGCGGAACGGACCTGAAAAAGGTGATGAAAGGTGACCAGCATCTATAAAAGCTATCCACAGAACCCCTCAAACTAAACTTGATCTTCTCGAGGTGCAAAAAGAAAACATCATCTCTCAGCCAAAGGGAATGAGAGGGAGGAGAGCGAGACTTTCAGCCGATGAGAATTCTACGCCTTGCTAGTAACAGAGCAAAGGAGAATTCAACTGGGTAGTGCCGATGTAAATACTAAAAATAGCTAGTAAAGGGCAGAGACTCAGATGTTTATTAAAGACAGTAGAAAGAGTAGAGTATACAAAGTCCCAAAATCTCCACAGTTTGCGGCAAGACCAAAACATATGAAAGAGGGTCGCCGGATCTTCGTCACAGCAAGGGCAGGCTGGCTTAACCTCGGGATAGATTTGTGCTAGTTTAGCATTGCACAGATGAGCTCTATGGACAGCCTTCAGCTGCATTATGTTTAGTCTTGCGCAAGAGGATGAAGAGTTAACTCTAGCTAAAGCTTCAGTCCACCATCTCTCCTCCAACCTAAGACCCAGCTCCGCCTCCCATTTAACCCTGGCCTCAGAAATCTTTGCCTTATTAAAAGACAAAATCTTATTATAAAAAATTGAAATAAGCCTTCCCTCGGTTTGCACAGTAAAAAAGTCCTCCCGAGGAAGAGTTGGGGGGCATTCCGGAAACATGGGAAAAAGGGATTCTGCACAATGTCGAACTTGAAAAAATCGGAAAAGGTCTGTTCTAGGGAGATTAAATTTGGAAACTAGTGAGGAAAAGCAGCTAAATGTATCATCAAAGAAATCCCTAAAGGTGGTAATACCTCTCCCCTCCCAACTTGTAAATCTGGAGTCCAGGGTTTCAGGCTTAAATAAATGATTTTTACATATTGGACTCAAGGCAGACGCCTCAGTAAAGTGAAACATTCTACGAAAACTGGGTCCAGATCTTTAGAGTAGACACTACTAATGGATTGGAGGAGAAATGAGAAGGGAATATGGGGAGAGAAGAATAGACCAAGGCACGAGTAGAGGATGAGTGACAGGAGAGGGATTCCGTGATACACCATACAGCCTCTGGGTATTTAAACCAAAAGGCCATTTTTTAAATGTTGGCTGCGAAATAGTAATACATAAAATTAGGGAGGGCCAGTTGTGATGGTTTTTAACAAATTTATTATTTGGTTAGGAGACTTATGTTGATATCAGGACCCTAAGTTAAATTTTCTGTTTAGATACTTAAAAAGTAAACATGTATTTACAATAGTGTTGATAAAAATCACTTTATATGACATCATGTAATGAATACTGACCTAAAAGCTTTTCTAAGACAAATACAAATTTAGAAGTAGACTTGTATATGAATATATTCCCAAAACAAGTAAAAAAAAATAGTATACCTAAAAAAAGGCATATATATTTTAAATGCCACACCAAATAGTTTTCATTCAGAACTCCTGTAAAATGTAATGTTTGGAAATATTAAACCATAACCGTTATCCTAATTACTGTGAGCCTTGTTCAAGGTTAATTTGTGGAATGTCTGTCGTTGTTAATGTGTTTAAAGATATCAGTTGTGAGATGTGGTGGGTCTAAATTGTCTTCTGTTTGGTAGAAGGCCAGTAGTTCTAATTGTGTTATATTCACAATGTGTAATTTCAGTTTTCAGTCATTAGTGACATATTAAAATGTGGAAAATACTAAAAAAGGAAACCCTTCTATGAGTAAGTGTGTCCAAACTTTTAACTGGTTTTGTTAAAACTGTGTATGTGGTCTTCACAGTGCCCCCCTCCCCCATCGCTCCACCTCAGCTGCTGAGAGCAGGCTCCACCTACCTTATCATCCAGCTCAACACCAACTCCATCCTGGGTGATGGCCCCATCATCCGCCGAGAAATTGAGTACAGAGCCAGCCATGCGCCCTGGTCCGAAATCAATGGAGTCAACATGGTCACCTACAAGCTCTGGCACCTGGACCCAGACACAGAGTACCACATCAGTGTGCTGCTCACCCGGCCTGGAGAGGGTGGTACGGGACCCCCTGGACCCCCACTAATCAGCAGAACTAAGTGTGCTGGTGAGTGTCTGGAGCATTTTCTTTATCTTTCTTGTCTATGTGCACACACTATATAGTTATATAAAGAGCTAATTAGTGCCCTCCCACAGCTGTTTGTGAATAGCTGAAGTAAGTGCTTTTACTTTCCAGTCAAGTGCTTGTCAAAGTAGATGTGATGTTAACAATGATTTACCTGCCCACAAAATATCCTCTTTGATCTCCCTTTCTGTCATCAGAATGGTGTGATTAAGTACAAAAGCTTTTGTTTCCAACTGGTGCCACACTATATGTCCAAAAGTATCCAGACACCCTTTATAATTACTCAATTCAGCAACTGTAGCCTCTTTCTGTAGGGTCCCAGTGGCCATTCTGCCGGCAAAATGGAAATTAGCTAAAATATTATTAATGAAAAAAATATTTTTCCCTGTAACTATTATCAAGGACAAGGGTTCTGATTCAATTGTTAAATTGGTTCTAAGAAAAAAATCTACATCAGATTCATGAACAGAATTGTTCTTCCCTTCGTGCTCTTGAGTGTGCATAGATTCTGTTCTTACCTCAGAATAAATCCCAACTAAGTTGCAAGTGGGTTTTATGAAGAATTTTCTTTTTAAGAACGGTTTGTGAATGAGGCCTATTATTGACTCTCTATGTGTGAAATGTTGTAACTTAGTGTTGAGCTGCTAGCGAGCAATGAGGCATGAAAGGAGAGGAGAAACCCTGACTGTAAAAACAGTTTACATCTCTCCACAAAGATAGCCGTGCCTGTAGCTTTCTGCAGCTGCAGCTTTCTTCACATCAAAAACTTGTGAAAAAAAATGTGTACAAAAAAATAGCATTTAACCCTTGTGTGGTGTTCATGTTTTTGTTATTCAGTGGCCTGGTAGACCCACTGCATTATTGTTTTTTTAAATAATAACCATAACAGTTTATGTAAAAATACCAGATGTTTAAAATATTGCAAGTGGTCAGCGTAGGGTTCTCCTTTAGCAGCTGTAGCCAGTCAGCAGCCTGTCCATGTTGTCCACCCTCACACACATGCACGCATATGCAAACACATACGCACAGAGACACACACTAACAGCAGGCCATGTAGGAGGAGAACGGAGTAAAGGGACACAGCACCTCCACACTTTTATTCCCCATGGGTTCACCCCAACACCATATTTGTAATAGAAATATGTAGGGGGTTTACAGTGTGAAGTCACTGAAAATGTGTTTTTTTTATACGTTCTTCACAGAAAATGATCAACGGCCAAGCAATAATAATAAATCGCATTCTTAATTTTGGTAAACATTGAAAATGAGTCCCATAGACCCGAACACCATACGAGGGTTAAATACATCAAAACTTAAAAATATTGCTTGCTCACGTGCGAAGATGAAAATCTAGTTCGCTTCCAGTTCTGTAAATCATACACTCTCTCATCATCACCTGAGCCACTTATCCTCTTGAAGCCTATCCCATTGCTCATTGGGCAGATAGCAGGAACATCCAGGACAGGTCGCCAGTCCATCACAGGGAAGACACACAGACATACACATATACACACAGACTCACACTTATAAATCATGCACACTTCCAACTAAATATCTTCAATAATATTATTCAATTCAAATACAGTCAATTATGTATATTCAAGCATTAATGAATCAAAGGATATATATATATATATATATATATATATATATATATATATATATATATATACACAAGTGTGTATGTGTGATGTGTGTGTGTGTGTGTGTGTGTGTGTATATATATATATATATATATATATATATATATTATAGGGGTACAACTGACTGACCTCCAGAGCTCATGGTAACTTCAGTAAAAAGGCATTAAGGTGGACCTGCTGAGACAGTGTCCAGTTGTGCACATGCAGCTTGTATAATCTCCGAAGAGCAGCATTTTCAATAGAATGGGACACACTGAAGCCACACATAGAGCCATAGGTCACCATGCTCAATGCCAGGTGTCGCCTGGAGGGGCATAAATTTGGACTGTGGAGCAGTGGAATTGTGTTCTCTGTAGTTGGAGTGACCTTTGTGATCCATAACTAACATCAGTATCTGACCTCACTAATGCTTTTGTGTTGTGCCTGAATTCATTCAAGTCCTCACAGCAGTGTCCAACATCAAGTGTAAAGTCTTCCCAGACGAGTAGAGGATGTTACCGCAGTAAAAGTGGGTGCAAACTCACAAGTAATACCTTAGACTTCAGAGGAAACATTGGATAAGCAGGTGTCTACTCAACTAATGTGATTTTGAAATGCAGCTCGGGTCTTCTGTCTGCGGCATGCTGGCAGCTGGCCGGGTTGTAACAGTGCCCATGACCTTTGCCACTTTCTCCACATGGCACTGCCCCCTGCTTTATCCCCCACCCACATTTTCACACATTTTACCTCTTCCTCACATCTGATAACATATTGCACTCCCCCCAAGCCTGCTCCAGTGCCCAGACATCACCCATTCATCACTGCGAGCGGAGGGAAGAGCGGAAAGGGCTGGGTAGTGAGGAAGGGTGTGGAAATTGAAGGTTTCAAAGTGACATGGCAGAGGAAGGGAGGAAAATACCAAAAAAAAAAGGGAAATGTTGAGAGAAAGAGAAAGAGAGCGAGCGAGATGTATTTTCAGTAGTTCTTCCATTTTTGCTTTTTACATTAAGCTGTGATTGAAACTCTTTTTAAAATGGCATATTTGTGTGACATCCCTAGTGGTGCCTGGTTGCACATGAATATTGCTGCTGTTAAAGCGGCTGTCATATTTGCTCAACTGTTGAAGATATAATTTAGATTCAATATAGGCACATCAGTGGAGCTGCTAGTGAAATTAAGCTTTCCATACTCTGTTTGTGCTCTCAGGCCCACTGCCATTCCGCAGTTTGTGGAATGCGTATGGAGGGCGTAATTGACTGCAGGACTGAAGGGTGCAATTGGGAGCACTGCACAGTGTCAGAGGACACAAGGCTTTGATTTGTTTGACAGGTCTAAAGCACACAAATGCATGCACGCACACAAACACAGACAGATTATTGATTAATAATGGTATCCTTCAGAGGCAGTCTAGAATCAGGCAGCTCAATATCCAGATTAGCCTCAAAATGAAAGTGGACTCAAGAGATCTTCAGTCCAAACAGGAACGGTATGAGCTTTTAGCTGCTGATAATAAGCCTATAACAAATGCTGAAAGGCAGGCAGGGTAAACAATCAGAGGCCCATTTTGTCAGTTCTCCTGACGTGATGAATATTTTTTTTACTCATCATAAAAACACATCCACTGCATTTAATCATTTGGTTATACCACGCTTTTGTTAAGCTTGATTTGTCCTGCGCTGCACATGGTGTGAATATCTCCATTCGCCAGTGCCTTGCTGCTCAAAGGGGGGGATGTCTGTCTTCAACATGTGCTACAAACAAATGTGACAATCATGTAATCATAGATTTCAAATGAATCCTCTTCTTATTCAAATAAGCTATTACCTTTTTTGTAAAGTACTGAGTGAATATGAAGACTTTTGTGTAGTTATGTGTGTATATATATATATATATATATATATATATATATATATATATATATATATATATATATATATATACACACCAATAAAAACAGAGACTTTTTCACTAGGAAGTCCAAGATGGTCATTTTGACCGTTTTGAAATTTTGAGACAGGATCATTTTGACAAAATAAAACCCTGACTTTCCCTGACTTTTACTAAATTAGTGGTGAAGTTTTAAATATTTCTATCTTGTAAGGCCTTTAGTGATCATTTTGACCGTATACCTTAGATTCATCTTTATGAGTCACTCTTTTTACCCTCTGCTCCAGCGAGTCAGAAGCTATTTTTACAGTGGTTGTTCAGTAGCCTACTCATCTTATCTCATTTACCTCAAAAAATCTTATAGAGAATTGGCAAATGGTTTAAAAAACACAATCCAGAATAGAATAAAATAGCAGCAATACAACACTTTAACACAATTAACGCTTTTTTTACTGGAATGGCAGCCTCGTCAAATGTCCACTGCATTCACATTTTTATGTAGTCTAGCTTTTAGCTGTGTTTCAGCCCTCACAATGTACAGTTTGCCACAGAAAAATCTGTTGTTAATTAATTGCATTTTTACTATACTAAAAATATTCCCTTATACTAAGATAAGTGAATGATGTATATTTGTTGGTTTTATAAGTGCACATAAGTTAATTTCAATCAGTTTTTATGAACATTTCATCTAATTTCCTGTTGCAGTCAGTTTGATCGTTTAGGCATTTAACAAGGTTTTCGCATTAAAGCTGCCACCATGTAACAGAAACATTACATTTATGTTTTATTGTTCTTTGTGTTCATATGTAAATGTAATTTATTTGAAATCTAATGCTTTTCTTACAGAAAAATGTAATGCAAATTATTTGCCTAGTCCATGTTGTCTTATACTGGGGCTTTAGTATTAATCTGTAAATGATTTGCAAAAATCAAAGTTTAAATTAGTCATCCAGACATTTATCATGTTTATCATGACTTATCCCAGCAATACAAAAGTATTTATTTTTTACAATTATTCTTTGCTCTTGTATAATTAATCCTTCGAAATTCAAACTGATCTCAAAATGACCTCTATGGGCCTTCTAGTAGTTATGGAATACGGCCTTTCTAGTGTTACGTGCTAAATAAGCTATACCATTTAACAGGGAAGGAAGAGGCCTGGGGCTAGGGCTGTGAAATAATCGCAATTATTTGACATGATTTCTAACTTGGTGTTCTAACATGTTTGGAGGGCAGCAGTGAGTAATGTTGTTGTGTTTGTTAGCTATGTAGCTAATTTTACATTGTTGGCATGTAGGCTAGCTAGTTTTTTTTTTGGTTGGTATTTTACTTTTACTTTGCTTGACTGATTTTATGTAACTGTAGACATTTGTCTGAGTATTTGGATGCACGCAACAGTGCATTGTGTCATTTTGACAGTACAACCAGTATTAGCCACTAATCAAACATAGCTAGGAAGCAGGATGGCTAATC